GCTACGCGTCGGAGGATTTTGGGCGCGGATCGTCTTCTAGCTGTTTCGAGCCGGAGAGAGGTTAGTTTCTTAAAAGTTAGTGAAGTTGTTTTATTGTTTCCGCTGTTGCTTTGATTGAAGAGATACGTGGGAGTTAAGGTTGGTTATTTTTGGAGAGAGATCATGGGTTGGGTTGGTTATTCATTTTAATTGTTCATAACTTTAGTTTACTATTCATTTTAGCTTTTTTATTGTTCTCTTTAGTAATAAAGAAGTAGATAACTATGGTACATATAATTTAAACCCAAAACTTTATAGTATCAGATTATTATGAAATTAGTAGTAAAATTAGCGTTCATTGAGAACTCTCTCAAGGGAGAAAAAGAAAGTAAAATTTACAAAACCCCATAAGCTTTTGACGAGTTTTCACAAAATTCTGCTAAATATTAGAATTTCAACAAATCTCCCCCAAACTTTAGAAGTTTCACAAATGTTCTCTAAACTATGAAAAAAATACCATTAATGGAACTAACAAAACAATCATGTTTGATACATACTGAATATTTTGTAAATTTTTAACCGCGTTGTAATTTTGCAAACTTGCTAATATTTTGTTTTTTTAGAAAATAGATGGGATCTTAACAAGATCCCAGCCAGCACTAATTTTGTAATTTTTGATGCATCTAAAGTATGATGGGTACGTACTCACTCTTTGTTTACTCTGCTGTTCACAGTGTTTGGGTTTGAATTAGTAAGGAGAATGGAAGAAAATTTATAATTTTATCCCATACGGGAACTTGGCCTGTTTGATTGATAGGAAGTATCAGATGTAAGAAGTAAATTAAATCTATTACTCCTAAAATTATAAAATAGAAATTAGCAGAAATACTACTTTTTTGTTTGTTTCATATAATTTTGGAAGTAGCGGCAATAGTATTTCTTCCACTTTATTTTTTTTTTTGTCTGGTAGCAATTATAAATATTGTTAGGAAGAGAGAAAGATGATCTTTCGAGACAATATTTAGAATAAGAGAATATCCTTGAAATAGCAAAAATGATTTCATTCCTAAATTGACTGAAATTCCGCTACTTCCGAGGTAATTTCAAGCCTTGAGGGAAGGAAAAAGATTCAAGAAATATAGATGACATGTAGGCGCCACGTCAGCTCTGAAGGAAGTACCAGAAGTAGGTGATAATTTTTCATCTCGGAAATAGTAGAAATAGTAGAAATGATCCATACTTCCTGTGCAAACAAAGAGTCCCTAAAAGGGAATGAAGGGGAAGAAAGTGGACTTCAAACTCAATCTCGGATTCAACAATGAGAGGGTACAATTGTTCCGAGCACAATTATTTGTTGACCAATTTCGTTCTCTTCAATTACTCCCCAATTTGAAGGGGAACAAAATCTCACAAAATCTCACAAAATTTCACCTCAATTAACTTAGCATTTCACTCATTATCCCCTCAAATGAGTTCTTAAAATGTGGTTAGTCATCTAGAACTTAAAATTGGAAGTGGGATAATCTGTGGGATAAAATTTTAAGGTGTTAGTCACATAGAACTAAAACTAGAACAAAATTTTACAGTGTTAGTCAAGTAGATCTCTAATAAAACTAGAATTGGGATAATGATACAACATTATCTCATTTTTTTTATTTTTCTATACAAAAATGAGAGTTCTAGTCTCTCAAATTATTCCAGATTTTAGCTCGGAACTAGGTGGTAAAAAACTAGAACTTAAATTTATTTTGTTATTTTTTATTTTTTATATTTCTTTTTTTCCTTTACTTTTTTCCTATTATGGTTATCACCATCATTAGACCATCATTATAATAATTGTCAATATTTTATAGTCTAACCAAAAGTTATTTAATAGTAAAGAACATTCTTGTAAATAATTATCAATCAATAATAGTAAGTTTAAAATACATAAATAGTATTTATATCTTCAAAATGCATAAATATATATATTTCATGATTATAAAAATTTATCCCACGTTATTTATCAAATATCCCGCTTCACAAAATTGTTCCTATTTATTCCACTAAAATATCTCACTAGCAAAAAATTATTCTATTTTAACAATTATCTCATTTTGCATAAAAATTTCCCAATTGACTAACACCCCAAAAACAAAAACAAGATTAACGGTTCACCTACCTTTCCTTACCGCCCATCACGCCCAATCCAAGCATGGCTGGTGATAGTTTTTCAAAACTAGAAGATTTTGAGAAACTCCCAATAATTAAAGGGTTTTTCTATAGAGTGCCATTAGGCACTCTATAAAAAAAAAGAGAGATAGAGAGAGGTGAATAGTAAGAACGAAAATAAATGCAAACAGTGGGCTCCTCTACCATTCACCTCTCTCTATCTGTTCGTCTTATAAAGTGCCCTTGGGCACTCTATAGAAATACCCATAATTAATTCCACGGGCCACGTAAAATCATCAAAGTTGGGCAGAGAACATCGGCGTGAGCGTGAGCGGTTTTGGGCGGGCGAAACAGGAACCTCGACTTATCCAGTCCCGCTCCTTGGTTGCCCAAAAAGGGGCAGGCCATTTTCACTCCCCAGTCGATAGAAAAGCTCGGGCGATGGATCCGAGCGGCCTCCGAGCCCTAAATCTTCGGTGCTCTTCCATCACGTTTCTCTACCCTCCTCGGCCCATCATCACTCGCTCCCCTCTCCTCTCCCATCTCAACCCCAACAGCGCGAGGAGGAGGGGGGAGACTACAGCGAAGCCCTCAAAGATCCTTCCTTTTCTCCTCGGAGCCTCTTCATCTTCGACCTCCTCCTCCTCCTCCGCTCGTGCTCGTAAGTCTTTATTTCTACTTCTAATCGTTTCTGGATGAGCCTCATACCTGTAATTGTTCTATTGGGCGCTGTGTAAGGAGGGATAGCTCAAGAGTTCCTAGGTTCCTCAACCTGATTCACCTCTTGAAGCTTTTTTTTTTAATTTTAAAAAGACAAAAAGAAAAGAAAATAAATTTGTTGCCTTGCCGTATTAAGTAGACAGAATTCTTTATTTGACTTCGGTTGTGGACTTGGAACTTAATCTTTGCTTTTGAAGAGCATAGATTGTGAGGGGTGATGTCTCTTTGAGCTGCGAGTTGAATACAACAGAAATCCTGAAACTATAAGCAGGAAGAGGGTGCATAGCGTATGCGTGATTCTGCAATCTAGAATGCGGTGGGGATTGTTAACTGGTGTGAGAAGAGGCTTCTTCAGTTGCATTGTTGTCTGGGTAAGGTACGAGTATATTTACACAAAATTACACAATATAATATGAATTATACAAGAGCGGTAAAAATGATGGGGTTAGCTCGGCACTAGTTGTGATGATCAAGATAGATGTATCTACAGGAGGCTGCGATGTAGCTGTAGGTAGGTGGCTGCAATGTAGCTATAGGTATGATCTTAACCCCCCGGCGCAAACTCACAGTAGATCGAAAGCCGATAGTTTGGATAAAGAAGCAGCGAAACTGAGAAATGGTATGCCTTGATAAACAAATCTGCAACTTGATCCTTGGAAGCGACATAAGACGAAATAATGTTGCCAGCAACATGTTCTTGCCGAACCACATGACGATCTACCTCAATGTGTTTGGTGCGCTCATGAAACACCAGATTTGTGGAAATGGAGATGGCACTCTGTATAGAGTGATAAGAGAAGGAACAGAGACATCGAGATCTCGCGAAAGGTTGAGAGCCATTTTAGCTCAATTGTAGTACCTGCCATTGTCCGATACTTCGATACTCAGACTCTGTATTAGAGCGAGAGACAATGGGTTGACGCTTACTACGTCAGGATATGAGAGATGATTCCAGAAAAATACAAAACCGAATGACCGAGCGTTGATTGTCCGGATCATCGGCCCATCTAGCATCAGAATATGCACGAAGAGACAATGAAGAGTCTGATGGAAAAAAACAATGACCAAATATAGTTCCATGGAGATAACGGAGAACGTGAATGAGAGCCGCATAATGAGTAGAAGTAGGAGCGCTAACAAACTGGCTCAAGATGCGCACCTCATAAGCAATAGCCGAACGTGTCATGGAGAGATAAACCAATGCTCCTACAAATTTCGATATCAAGTGGGATGTGAAAAATGATCACCATCATTGTGTCGAAGCTTCAAGTTCCTCTCTATTGAAGTGGGGAGAGGAGTGTAGCAATGGAAGGATCACTTAGAGTAGCACGCTCTAGAATGTTTGCAATGTACTTATACTAAGAGAGGAGATAGCCACGAGAGGAGGCAACGACCTTAATACCAATGTTACAGAAGGCGCTAGGCAGACTAGACATTCGAGCCGGGGCTTAGCGCCTAGGCGTTTGCTTATTTTTAAATTTATTTAATTATAATAATTCACAAAAATATGTATTAATTTTATATAAAATTGTAAAAAACATAAAATAATAATCTTAGATCCATAGTCAATGATGCATAAATACTAAATAGCTAAAATAGTAACCAAATACTAAGAAACATCATCATGTCCAACATAATCAGTTAATCACAGTGAAAAAGATAAAACAATGAAAAAAAGATAAAAATTTTACCTTAAAAAGAGAAGAGGAAGATGCGACGAAGAGGAGGAGCCGAGGTGGCTCGAGGAGGGAGGGTAGTGATCAGCTTGAGGAGAAGACAGTGACAAAGAAGAGGAGCTGGCGAAGAGGATGAGGAGGAGGCAGCGGGAGAGGAGGCGGTGGCGGGAGAGGAGACGGCGGAAGAGGAGGTGGTAGGAGAGGAGCAGCGGTAGAAGAGGAGGATGGGAGAGATTGAGAAGAGGAGGCGACAACAATACACGAGAGAGGGAGAGGGAGTCAGAGAGATAGGGTTAGGTTAAGAGTTAATAATGGGTTCGGGTTTGGGCTGGGTTTTAGTTTAAAATTAGGTTTTTTTTTGTTCAAAAAGCTGGACGGACCTAGGCGGCGCCTAGGTAGAGCGACCGTCTAGACTGACTGCTCATGCCAAATCTAGACGGGTAAGACTCCACCTATGCCTAGGCGGATGCCTAGGCCGTTTTTTACATCACTGCTCAATACCCAAGAAGTAATGAAGATATTCAATATTCTTCACCTCAAACTAACTCTGAGATGCTGGTTCAAGGAAGCAATAACAGAAAATCACTTCCAGTAATTATCATATTATTAACATAAAGTAAGAGAATGATCATGCCAGAGGTGATGATTGATAGAATAGAGCTAGTTGGCCAGACTCAATGAAACCAATGGAAAGAAAAGACTATAAAAAACGCTCAAATCAAGCCCGAGTAGCTTGTTTGAGACCATATATAGCACGATGAAGACAACAAACATGCCTTAGAGGAGCAGAAATGCTAGGAGGCGACTGTATGTAAATTGTCTTAGATCACCATAAGAAAAGTAGTTTTAACATCGATTTGATATAAAAGCTAATGTTTTGCTAATGCGATAGCAATGAGAGTGCGAATGGATGTCATCTTTATAGCGAGAGCAAACGTCTCTTCATAATCAATTCTATATTCCTGTGAGGATCCTTGGGCTACAATATGAGCTTTGTACCGCTCTAGAACCGTTAGAACGAGTCTTGACCTTATGAATCCATTTATAGTTTACAAGTTTAACACCGGAGGGTAAAGGAATAAGGTCCAAGAATGAGTTCAATGGAAAGCTTCTATTTCCTCATTCATTGTCTGTTGCCATTCTAGATACTTAACTGCGTCAGAATATGAGTTAGGTTCATACATAGAATGAATAGTGGCAAGAAAGAAGACAAGCTCGGGAGAATAGGTGCTAGTGACACACTAAGCATACCGAGCAGGACGATGGTGATCTTGTGGAGGATTGCGATTGCGATGAGGAGGAGTCACATCCGGAGAAGCTACCGCAGGCGTAGAGGGGACATCTATCCAATGAGCGTCTTGTAGCGGAAATGAGATAGCAGGTGGTTGTTCAGAATAGGTGGATGATTCAAGTGACTTGTTGCTAAATGCTTGCAGAGTATAATGAGTAAGCTTAGCAATAGAAGGTATAAGCGTCAAGGGTATAGGTGTAGTAGTGAAAGGTGATGAAGGTGGTCGAAGAAAGGACATGTCTGAGTCTGAAGTACCATAGTAGGGAACATTCTCAAAGAAAATGACACGCTGGGCAATACGAACCTTTGACTGGTAGGTTCATAACAACGATACCCTTTTGTGAATTGTGCCTTCATCTCGCAGACCGTAGAGATAGTTCATCTCTCCATTTAGTCTATGGTCCGTTGGATCGTCAGTGCAAAGCCAAAAATTGGAACACAGTTCATGAGTCGGAAGTAGGACAAAACAAACATCCAAAAATGTGAAGAATAGAATAGTGAAACTGAGACTAAAAAAGTCAAAATGTAGAGACTCTAGATAGGTGTCAGCTAATTCAGAAAATAGAGTGATCTTGATAAGAAAAATACCAGTTAGTAGTGTTTCAGCCTAGAGAAATCGAGGATGTGCTGATGTTCTCCCTCAGCAATACCATTTTGTTCGTGAGTGTGTGCACATAATTGCTGAGACTACTATGTGATTTTAAAATAGATTGCATTGCCAAAGAGGTACATTCACAGGCATCATCAGAATGAAATATCTTTATGCATTTCTAAAACTGAGTGTTAACCATGTTTGTAAAATCTTTGTAAATATCTAAAATATCAGAACGAGCATGCATGAGATATACCTAAGTGTATCGAGAATAGTCATCAGTAAAACTAACATAATAACGATAACCAAATAAAGGTGACAATGAGGCAGATATCAGAATGAATAAAATCAAATGAGACTAAAACAATATTATCATTGGAAGAGAATGGTAGGGCATTTTGTTTAGCTAATCGATATCCAGTACAATTCGATAAAATAGAGAATTTAAAGCTTTCTAGTACACCAGATTCAGACGAAAGTTTTAAGCGAGAATCAGAAATATGACCCAGGTCCCAGGTGATGATGCCATAGATCGGAAGTAGAGAGTCCATAGCCAATTGTGGAGGGAGAAAAAAGATGTCGAGACTCTAATTGATAAAGTCCATTGATTCTACGATCTGTCTTAATCTTCTAGTCTATGTGATTCTAGACAACAGAAGATTTAGAACTAAATAAGATAGGGCAACCAATGTCAACAATTTTAGTAATAGATAAAAGTTGCATAGATAATTTCGGAATATGAAGAACAAATGACAATGTTAGACGACCAGAAGTATCAAAATTTGATGTAATATCACCCAACTGAGTAGATGCAAGGGGAGTGTCATTAGCAGTATAAATGCATAATGAAGAGAGAGCGGGTGAACAATTTGTAAGAACAGAGTTATCAAATGTCATATGATGAGATACACCTGAGTCTAATATCTAAGGAGTGGAACTACCAGAATGAGTAGATAAGGTAGTGAAAACAGAGCTGGAGGGAGCATCACTAAGTCCAGGGTTCTTACCTATTAAAATAGTAAACTTTGAAAGCTGACCAGAAGGTAGAGGGCTAGGACTTTGTGGCCTTTGAACAGGACTAACTCTAGTTGATGCAGCAATTGGGGATTGAGCCTTC